AAGGAAGGAAGGAAGGAAGGAAGGAAGGAAGGAAGGAAGGAAGGAAGGAAGGAAGGAAGGAAGGAAGGCACTGAAGCCATTTGAAATTTGAGGAATAAGATGGAGTGGGTGAAGCGTGTGGGAAGGAAGCCAGAGGAGAAGCAATAGCTGGAGGCTCAGCCCTCTCTCCCCATGCATTACACGGATGACTGCTCAGGGCCACAGCCTTGGGTACAGTAGCCCTGGACAGCCCCCTGCCCATGTGGTGATGGCCTTTACAAGGTGCTGCTAGCCACCCTGCAGGGCTCTCTCTGTGCTGCTCTTCCTGACTGTTCGGTCTTGCGACTGAGATGGTTGAAGAGGGCCACAGGTTGCCTGCAGCTCCTAAGTGTCTCACCCCATCCCAGAGAGAGGCTTCCAGGAGCCAAGGAGCCTCTGTTAGCTATAGAGACTCACCGCAGCTCCAGCCAGGAGCTGCTGATAGTGGAATGGACAGAGTCGGGCTTCTCCTCCACACTTGCCATCTGCTCCAGATCGTCTATGCTCAGGCCATCCTGCAGTTCCTCCCAAATGTGCAGGCCAAATGTTCCTGTCATGTGACCAAACCCTGTTCAGAACCAGCACCCTGAACCCACTGCCACACCCTGCCACCCTACCCACTCACCCAAACACTGAGTGCCTGCCCACATACCAGGCGTTATGCTGGCAACACAACAAACCTCCAGACTTGCCAGACCCCAGTCCTAGGAGGTACCTAGCTAGAGCTTAGGTGTGAAGTGTCCTGCACCATGTGTAGGCTGATATGGGAAGAGCACTGTGCTAAGAGCCTGAGCCAGGCTCCCAGCAGGTTATCTGTGAAGTGAAAGGGGCATTAAATAGCTGGGACCGGTCTGGGTGAGATCTGGGTTGGAGCAGAAGAGAAAGAAGTCAGAGTCCTGCTCTGGTCCTGGCATGGATGACGATTCAATTCCCAGAACTAGCATGATAGAGAGAGAGCCAAATTCTGAGAGTTCTGACCTCCGCGTGTGTGCAGTAGCACAGGAAACCCCCTTCCCCACACACAAATAAATAAAAGCGGGCCGTTCTCCTTGCTGTGGAATTATGAAATTAAGGAAAAGAAAGAATGCAGGTTGCAAAATCCCATTTTGGAGAAATTACCAAATTGCTATAGCAGCAAATATAAGAGCAACTAAAATGACAGGGAGATCTTTACAGGAAATACTAGCCTAGCAGTCACTTTCTTCTCCAGGAGTGCCCAATATGGATCCAAGCTGTGTAGGAACCAGTCTTGGCCTAGACAGAAGGATGCAGCTTTGGGACCAGCTGAGCTCTTGCCAGCCCTGCAGAGGGCAATCTTAAAAGCACAAAATCCTGTGAGGTATGCGCTGAGCACTAGGGGTTATAGGGCTGGGCTAGAATGAGATTAAGAGAGAGGGCCTCCCAATAAGAAGCCTACCAAGTCTCTTTGACATACCCAAGATAAGGTAAACTGAGTCTACCTGAATCTGCTTTCCAGCCCTTCCAGCTCAGATCCGGCTCAGTGAGATGAGAAAACCCATGTTCTGGGAAATTGATACCAATTTCAGTCTTCACAGATCATTTACACAACGTCCAGAAAAACCCCATTGTGTTCTGTTTTTGAAATGCCCAGTTGTATAACACCAACCCCAGTGGTGACTCAAGCATTTATCTCAGCAGGCTGGTCCCCTAACTCTGTGCAGAAAGAATAGGAAGACAGCAAAACAGTCCAAGAAACTCATGTAACCAGCATCATTGATACCAGAGCCAGACAATGACACCACAAAGAGAAAACTACTGGCCAGTATCCTTGGGGAACAGAATTGCAAAACGCCTCCACTTGCTCATGGAGATGTCTTCAACAGTAAAGCAGTGCACACCACATAAGCACGGGGACCCCATTCCAATCCCCAGAACCAATGCAGAAAGGCATGATGCTAAACCCTCCCAGCAGGAGGCGAAGGCAGGCAGATCCCTGGGGTTTGCTGGCCAGCTAGCCTAGCCAAGTTGACAAGCACCAGGCCAGTGAGAGGGTCTGATTCAAAAGACATCTACCCTCCATATGTGTACACTTATGTGTGCATACTCATGGACACACACAACACACAAGACTATCTTAGCCTGCCAAGAAAACAACCAGCTCTCTAAACATTGGTCTTATCGGTGACACCTTGGCCAAGACACCAAAAGTACTAACAACAAAAGCAAAAATAGAAAATCAGAGCTCTATAAAAGCAGAATTACATGGAACTAAAAGCCCCTAGGCAGGTTAAAGGTGAACTATGGAATGAGAAAGGAAAAAAGTCCCTTAGCATATATCTAACACAGGCAACCACTAAAATATGGAACTCCTCCAGCCTAACATAATAACAGCAAGAGCTGATTTTAAAATAGGGAAAGGACTTGAATAGACATCTATCCAAATGAGACATGTTAGTGTGTTAATGGCCAGTGGGCTGTGGATGCTCAGCACCTCTACATAAGAACCAGAATACACCTCGCACTCATTGGCATGGCTGTCATCAGAAGAGCAGGGAACAGGCAGCAGAGGACACACAGAGAGATCAGAACCATTGCAGGAATGTAAACCTGGGTAACTGCACTAGAAACAGTGTGGCATTTCTGAAAGCTGAAATTGGGACTTCCATTCGGTCCAGCCACCCTCTTTTGGTTATTTTCCTAAAAGAATTGAAAGCATGTCATTAACCCATTTGGGAGGCAGAGGCAGGAGAATGGCAAATTTGGGGCCAATCTTGCCTACACAGTGAGGCCACCCCCACCTTACACATGCATACAAATACACACACACACATTGAAAACCAGATCATTTGCTCCCAACTCCCAGAAGTCAGTTCAGCATTATCACCAGTGGCCGAAAATACGTAAACAACCAAAAGATGGATTCAGACAATATGCCTGTAAGAGAACACTCTCCAGCCTTAGAAAAGAGGGGAATTCTGCGACTATGACAAGGGGGATGAACCCTGAAGACATAAGACGCGGTGAAATGAGCCAGACAGAGGGCCAACTGCATAACCTCATGTCTATAATAGTCAGACGCGTGGAAACAGAAGGCAGAGCCTAGGCTCTGAGAAGAAGGGAGACACTGCAAGATGACAGAGTACAGGGAACTAAGTAAGTGTAGCTCACATAGCAAACTGCTGGGACAAAGAGAGTTTTTACACCTGGCTGGTGAAAGAATGAAAGCTGGGAACCACTTCAGAAGACCACAGAGCAATAATGACTGAAACTGAGGAAAAATATTAGATAGATAGATAGATAGATAGATAGATAGATAGATAGATGATAGATTGATAGATAGATAGATAGATAGATAGATAGATAGATAGATAGATATTACATATATCCTTGTAACAAAAACATGTATAAAAGTATTTACAGGAGTATTATTCTTGATCATGTAAAGTAGCTAGGAAGAGTAACATGGGTAAAGCACAGAATTTCTGCAGAATTTCACAGCTAGAATGCCTAGAGAGAATTAAAAAAAAAAATAGAAACAAAGAAAAGCTCATCACATGGCCCCATATGTACAAAGTCCAGAAACAATCTGTGAGTTTAGAAGCTAGGTCAGGAATGGCGGTGCCCATCTGGGACACAGCATTGGAAAGGACAAGACAAAAGGATTTGAGAGTCCAAGGCCAGCCTGGGCTGGCATAGTGAGATGCTGTCATTAACACAAACAAAACAAAAAAAAAAAAATGTGGGGTACAGAAAGATAGCTCAACTGGTAAAGTGCTTGCTCCAGAAGCCTGATGACTAAGTTCAGATCCCACCACTCACGCTAAAATCCCAGGACAGCAATGCATGCCTGTGCCCCGTGCTTGGGGCGTGGAAACAGGCAAATGCCTCAAGCTCATTGTCTAGCTGGCCTAGCCAAATCAGTGAGCTCCAGGCTCAGTGAGAGACCCTGCCTAAAAAACAAGGTGGAAAGCAAGTGAGGGAGACATCCAGTGTTGATCTCTAGCCAAGACAAGTGAGTGCCCACATGCGTGTGTCCAGCAAACACGTGCACATACACCTGAACAAACCTGCACATACGCCACACATGCGCATACACAGAAAAAGGGAAAAACGTCAGGGCCTGGCAAGCTGCTTCAGTGGCTGAAGCCACTTGCCATCCAAGCCTGCCAATCAAAACGCTCCATGGCATGTCCTCCCCTAATAAATAGATAACTGTAAAAAACAAAGAGCAGTGTTTTAATTGTGTTGGCAGTATCTCCTACAGAAAAGCTAGTGGCAGCCAAGACAGTGGTAGGAGGGGACACCCAGGGGCGCCTGCTTCCCAATGGGGGCTGTACAGATAGATATACACGTGCTCTGGATATTCAGACTGGGGCAATGTGGTATAACACTAAAACTATGCTTATTTTCTTGGGTTTTGGAGGTGATTTTGTCTTTTGAGACAGGGTTTCTCCATGTAGCCCTGACTGTCCTAGAACTCGCTCTGTAAACGAGGCTGGCCTCCAAGTCATGGAGACCTGCCTGCCTCTAGGGTGTGCCACCAACACCTGGCTTATGCTTATCCTCTTCAGAGAAAAGACCAGACCTTACCAGATAAAAGAGTTTTCTAAAGCTCGCCAAGGCAGGCAAAGCTGGGTGGATGAGTGAACGCATGGAAGGGTGGTTTGCGGGTAAATGGACACCTGGACAGATTCTCATGTTGCAAGATTCTGTGAGCAGCTGTGAGACCCTTCTCCCCACCCGGCATCCCAGGTGTGTTCTATCAGGGACAGGGACAGGAAAGGCCATGCTTCGGCAGCACCCGTACCTATGGCATCACCGGTGAGTTTCCAAGCCTTGACGTCCCGGTCCTTGCCAGCACTGATAACCACCTGGAAGCTTTCCACAAACAGGATATCTGCTATGCTTTCCACGTGGCTAGTCCAGGAAACCAGAAGTGGTGGGGGAACCAGAGAAATGGTGTGGCCCTCCACAACCTGTAGAGGGCAGCAGAGGATGACTTACACCCGGCTATCACACAGACTCCTTATATCAACTATCCTCCATGTTAACTATTTACAACTCGTAACAGTAGCAAAATTACAGTTATGAGGTGGCAAGAAAGTCATTTTATGGTGGGGGGGTCGCCACAACATGAGTGACTGTATTAAAGGTTTGCAGTGTGAGGTAGATAGAGAGCCGCAGCCTTAGCAGATACCTGGGACCCAGCGCAGCAGAGTCCTGGGAAGGGCGCTTGGACCCCAGCCAATGAACTTCCTCTGAGCGCTTTGCATTAGCCTGACATTTGGTAGGTCTAAGCACTTCTTCGGTTTCATGTGCCCCTTTGGTAAAGCCACCAGAGTCATTTTCCGTTTGCTGGCTGAGAACCTCTACACAGACCATCTCGTTGGAACCTCACAGTTTTGTAGACCATAGAAAGCATGTTCACCACTTTATTGAGAAAGTGACGGGACCAGACGTAAGTCTGAACACCTTCTAACTCTTTATGGCCAAGCATTGGAAGAACAGACTGTAAGACGTGACTGGCAACATTACCCTAGGAAAGATGTTACTAAAAGAAAAGAACTCTATGTAACTGAGAAGTGACCAGGACCATGTGTATGTGTGTGTGTGTTTCTGTGTGTGTGTGTGTGTGTGTGTGTGTGTATGTGTGTGTGTGTGTATGCTTCATTCATATATATAAATATGTATGTATGTATGTATATGTATGTATATATATATATATATGTTTACTTGTGTTTGCCTACGTGTATGCATGTACACATGCATGTATATGGCACAGGTGGTAGCCTCAAGTTGATGTCGGGTGTCCTCCTTGACCTCTCTTGCTGAACCCAGAGTTTGCCAATTCCAGCTGGTCTAGCTAGCCAGCTTTCTCCAGGATCCCCAGTCTCTGACCCATGCAGTGCCTGCCCAGCTGTTAGATGGGTCCTAGGAGCTCAGCCTTCAGCCCTCACACTTGGGCAGCAAGTGCTGTATCCATTGAGCCATCTGCCCAGCCCCAAACAACTTGAGCTAAGACTGAGGAAGAGACACTTATTCTGCTATAAATAGGAACGGTAAGTTAGACTAATGCAAACTATAACCCAACAATGAAAGACAGCAGAGAGCTCAGAAACCATCCTAAGCATATGTGAAACCCTGCTTTACAAGAATAGTATCTCACAGTGTGGTTTCAAAAACAGGACCTGCTCACCAGTGGTCTGTCGAAAGAAAACCAACCATCATCTCATCTGAAACTAAAATAAACACTATTAGCTTTGACTTTTATTTGTTTTGGTTTTGGGGTGCTGTTTGGTTTGGTTAGTTGGTTGGTCTTTTGGTTTTTAGGTTTTTGAGACAACGTCTCATGAGGTATCAAAAGTATTATTAAACTAGGACCTCACCAAAAAAAAAAAAAAAAAAAAAAAAAACTGTTGGAAGAGTTTGTGTAGAAACTGTCATTTATATTCCTCAGCATTCCTTCCATGAGACATTCCATTGCTCATTCCACCCTTTACCTGCTTTATTCAGATAGCCCGTGCCCCCAGATTTTCTCTTTTGTTGAGTCGGTTTCATGTCTTCCTTAAATTTTATCCATTTTCTTTTTTTTTTTTTTCTTACAACAAAAAAATTAAAGCCAGGTGGTGGTGGCGGCACACGCCTTTAATCCCAGCACCCAGGAGACAGAGGCACTTTGAGGCCAGCCTGGTTCCAGAACAGCCAGAGCTACACAGAGAAATCTTGTCTCAAAAAACAAAAAACAAAAAACAAAAAAAAAAAAAGGAAGGGGATAGAAGGAAAGAAGGAAAGAGGGAAGGAAGAAACTGTTACAATGTCAATAATAAGTAACAAACCAAATGAATACATGTGGTTCTGCAGAGTGACCATGACTGCGGAAAGTGAATACCCTCTTTTATTAGAAAGTCTGACTTTTGAGATTTGCTGTCCCTGAGATACAAGAATGGCTTGCCTTGCCATACATAGTCTATAACCCACTAACCCAATGAAGGCTAAAAGCCATAAAATGATTCTAGTACGTCTAGGAAAATCTCTCGAGAAATCCCAGTGCCCTTCCACGTTAAGAATTCTCACCAGGGTAGCCTTGGGGAAGGGCTGCTCAGCACAGCAGCACCAGCTCCAGCAAAACCTTAGCTAACGTGAGACTCAGCATCATCAGAGCTTCCCCCTCCGATTAGGAGTGAGACAGGGATCTTGTGCCTGTTTGTCTTCCACAATGAAATGGTCCTAATCTGAGAGAGCAGGCAAGAGAGAGAAAGACAAGACACACTAATAAAAAAGAATGGGTAAAGTGCACTTGTCCACTGATGCCATGGTCTGATACATAGAAAGCCCTCAAGACTCCACTCAAAATATAGAGGTGCTAAAGAAACTCAGTAAAGTTACAGAATACAAAAGCCAAGGCCAGGCTAAGCACTCTGTCTCAACAAACAGAACAAAGAAGATGATAGGTGGCGTAAGCCTGTAAGCCCAGCCCCCAAACGTGGAAGCATCCTTGACTACATTGCAAGATCAAGACTAGCCTGGGTTATATGAGACCCTGTCTCAAAAACAGTAAAGAAGAAAAGAAAGAAGAAAGAGGGGGAGTATAGGGAAAAGAAGAAAACCACAAGAGTCAGTAATATGAGAAAAGAGTACAGCTCAGTGTCTTGTAAAAGGGACTTTTAGTCTCCTGCTTCGGTTGTTGTCTCAGAGGCTTACTGCCTCCTTCTGCTAGCCAAGGCCTAGTTCTGGAAGGTCTACCCTCTGTACAATCTAACCTAGGCCTAGAATGTTTTCAGCCTCTGAGACTTACTGTTTAATAAGCTCACTCTTACATGTTCTTTCTGAACTCTGCTGGTTCAATTTAGCTCCTCTCTCAATCCCTGAATTGCTCTGCTTGGCCTCAAACTAACTGCAGCCATCTTTTCTAATCTTCTGGCTCCTTCTCATTCTCTGGCTCATTCTGTCTACACCTGTGTCCAGCTCTGGCTGGGAGATGGTTAACAAAACTGCAAATGTGTGCAACCCCTTGACCTAGTTCATCACCTACAGGAATGTATCCTTCAGAAATGCTAGCACACATGTGAGATAGTACTCACTACTAAGAGTAACTTTTAAAATTAAAACAAAGCAATTTTCCCCTTGAAAGGGGTTTTATTAGCAGCATAGCCCATGGCTTACTATACAGATCTAGAAAAAAATTCCAAAATGCATTATGGAATGAGAAAAGCAAGGGGAGAATCAGCGTGTGTGTGTCCACACCTTCAGGTAAAAAAAGAGGGAAATCACTGTTCACACACACGCTCATGTAAACCAACACTAAAATAACCAGAAATCAGTAACAGGGAATTATTATTATTATTATTATTATTATTATTATTATTATTATTATTATTACTACTACTACTACTACTACTCATGGAATTATTCAGGGAAGAATTATTTCACAAGAGTCCAGGCCTCTCTATGTTGCCTGGGCACTCTTAAAACTTTCGTTTATGTATGATGTACACATGAAAGGTTGTGTGTATAACAAATGTATTTAAGCATAAACCCAGAAACTAAACATGATTGTATAAGCAGACCCAGATAATGAGGCACGATATTGTCAAGATTCCTCCCAGCCAACACACACCCCAACAAAAGTGACAACTCTTCTAACAGGACAGGCTCATTTCCTCCACCTTTATGCTCTATAGAAGCAGGAACATATAACACAGTGTACAAGCTCTGGCGTCTGGCCTGACGTAATAATCTGAAGAGACGGTGAGTCTGTAGTGAGTAGATGTGACCACCTACCTACTGCTCTGTGAGAGTTTCAGCCCAGGCTGCTGAATGCATGTTTCCAGTGTGGAGCCATTATAAATGCTAACTCTCTCAGCATTCTTTCTACGTTTTACATGAACTTCTGTGTGTACGGCTAGAGTGGAACCACTGGATGGAAGGGCATGCATGCTCAGGTTAGTTAGCTATTGTCAGATAATCCCCAGAGTGACCGTGCTAATTGCCAATGCCTGACTGCAACAGCTGCTTCTCTGGGCCTGTATCCCTACAAGACTTTGGCTTGTGCCTTTTGGTTTGGGTGAGGATGGAGTGATGTCACTCTGTCACTTCCACTTATTTTTTTTTTCTTGGTAACTAAAGAAAAGTGGCTTGATGTCAGGAGGCCCTGCAAACACCAAGTACTTTGAACCGTGTAAAATTATTGACTACGCAAAGAGTGCATAGTGCTTCCGTCTTAAACTCATGACTCTAGGGTCCTCACTGCGAAGATCCACATGAGTGAGTGTGGGTATGGTGAGCGTGTGTCTGTGTAGATGTACACCTGTGAGCATGCTTGGCCCTTGTCCCCTGTGGTAGTGACGGCATTTAACAGATTTTCCCACATAGGCCAGACGTCACGAAGGGAGCACGAAGACTAACAGTGTCCATGGGAAACCACAGTCTTGGCTCTTTAGAGGGCCCTAAAAGTGCTTTCCCAACCAACCCTCCTGCCATCTTCCTACCTCCTTCTCCTTCCGTGGAATGGCGTTCACAGGTTGGAACTGGAGTTGCTTAGAAATTAAGAGCCGGAATTTATTCTTTCTTTCACCGTTTTTGACCTCGCTGGGATGGTATGGTTTCCAGCCAGTAAATAAGCAGTAATCCTTGATGTCCCAGATCTAGGCACAAAGTGTGAGTTAGTGGCCTAGCACCCCCTGGCCCAGGCCTAGAGCATGCTGCGAGTTCCTCCCACACTGTCTCTCTGAGCTTCAGCAGAGGTTACACCTCTGAGGCAAATAACTCTCACTGACGAGGCGCTACAGGGCGTTCTAAGCCAGACCCCTTAGTTAGCAGGCAGAGGGGTCTTGAGGGGCTTAGATGGACAAGGCAGTCCTGCCTCATGTCTCACCATGAAGCACAAAATCGTCTGCGAGACAGCTGTTCACAGATGAGACATACGACTGGCCACTGTGGGAGCTGTGTGGGTAACCATGATAGATAATAGGCTACAAGAGGCTTGGAGAAACTCTTTCAACAAGCCTGGTTCACTTCACTGGCCAGAGCAGAACAGGAGGCTCCTCAGTAACTCACCTTGCTCCCATCACCTTCTCTAGCGAGACCAGTACCCAGCGGGAGTAGACAAGGACCACACGCAGCACAGAGATGGCCGAAAGCTGGGATGCTTCCTCACCTTGATGACCCCTTTGCTGTCCCCTGTGAGGAGGATCCAGTCGTTCTCATCGGTGGCCATGGCACCCACAGCAGTATTCTCACCATTCTCTTCAAGGTCCACAGGGAACTTCCCCAGCAGACCTCCATTCCCGTGGATGGACCAGGCGTAGATGAAGCCGTCGATGCAGCTGCTCAGCATGGTAGCTGTGTATGGCAGGCGAGGTCTGGACTGCAGAAAAATTATCTGCGGGAGAAAGGTTGGCCTGCCTCAGCAGTGGCTCCCATTGGCTACTTTCACACATCACTAATGGACCCACACAAGTCACCAAGCCCAGCTGATGCCTCAGTCTCCCAGGATGCCCCTTCCTCCCTGGCAGGAACTGGGGGACAACATACTGACCAGAGAGCTATTTGCAGGCCTGGAATGTATCTTTTGTTGCTGTTAATCACTGTCTTACCCTAAGCGACTGCAATGGCTCCTGATACCATAGCTTATGACCAGCAAATGTTCATTGGAAGAAGATGTGTAAGTTTGCCTCATTTATCTCAAGTTCTCCAAGTCCGATTGCTCCCTCGATGTGACATGAAGAAGTAATTCGTTCTCTCTTAAATGTATTTACAGCAAAAAGTGCCCATTTGAATGTCAGAGGACAACGTGGTGGAATCAGTTGTCTCCTTCCACCTTCACTTGGGACCTTGGGAATGAATTCAAGTTGTCGAGCTTGCATGGCAAGCACTTTTGCCCACTGAGGCATCCCACCAGCCCAGGACCTTGAACATTTTACCTTACCTCAGAAACTAGCAATATCTTCTTATTATAGTGAAAACTTATATTAAGTCATCTAAGGAGAAACTTAATTAAGAATTCATTTTTAGGGGGATGGGGAGATGGCTCAGCAGTTAGGAGCACTGACTGCTCTTCCAGAAGTCCTGAGTTCAATCCCCAGCAACCACATGGTGGCTCACAACCATCTGTAATGGATTCTGATTTTCTCTTCTGGTACATGTAAAGACAGAGCACTCATTAAGTAAATAAATAAATAGATAGATAGATAAATAAATAAACAAAGACCTTTAAAAAGAGAATTAGTTTCTAACCAGGCATGGTGGTGTACTCTGTTAATCCCAGCATTTGTAGGCATAGGCAGGAAGATGTCTGTATGTTTGAAGCCAGCCTGGTCTACCTAGTGAATTCCGAGACAGCCAGAGCTAAATAGTGAGACCCTGTCTCAAAAACAAACAAACGAAAATCAATTTCTAAAAGAAGGTAATTACTGTATTCCAAGCTGACCTCTTTATCTAAAATATTTTATTTATTCTTTGACAATGTCATACATGTGTATAATGTATTTTGATCATATTCATACACACCCCATTCCTCTCTCTTATGCTCCTCCCACTCCTTCCGGGCCCCTTCTACTTACCAGCACACCTCCCTCCTACTCTTACATCTTAAAAAAAAAAAAAAAAAAGATAATCCACTGAAGTGAGGCGGTGATGGCACATGCTCTCAGGAGGCAGAGGCAGGCAGATCTCTGTGAGTTCAAGGCCAGCCTGGTCTACCTAGTGAATTCCAGGCCATCATAGAGAAACCCTGTCTCAAAAAAAAAAAAAAAAAAAGGAAGGAAGGGAGGAAGGGAGAGAGAGAGAGAAAGAGAGAGAGAGAGAGCGCCTGTTGAGTTGAACTGAGGTTGCTTATATGTACATGGGTATGAAGTTCTTTACTGGCCAGCTCCAAAATTCTTGGGTATCCTGATTGTCATGGAAGTCCTGAACAAGATGCTCAACCCTCCTCCCATTGATCCAGGTGCCAGGATCAAAAGAAACAGAAATCCTTTAGATCCTGAATTTGAGGGCAATGGTGAACGCTACGCAACATTTAAGGAACTAACCACACCAGTCCTTTTCAAACCTCACAGAAGGGGGTGGGGGTGAGTAGGAAGAGGGAAAGGAGGAGAAACAGGAAGCAAGAATGCTTCCAAGTGCTCCCTATGAAGCCAGTGTTAGTCTGATACCAAAAACTCCACAAGTTAACTACTACTGAACAGCCGTGGTGAACACTGGTGGGGCAAAAAAATAACAAGCCAAAATAAGCAGCACTCCTCCATGATCTCTGCTTCATGCCTAGCCTCCAGGCTCCTGCCCCTGGCTTCGCTTGGTGATGGTGCATGACCTGAGAATTGGAAGAGGAAACGAGCCCTCCCTCCCTGAGTTGCTTTGTTGTTGTTGTTGTTGTTGTTGTTTTGCTTTTTGTTGTTGTTGTTGTTGTTGTTGTTTTATTTTTATTATTAGTTACATTTTATTAACTCTATATCCCAGCTGTATCCCGCTCCCTCATTCTCTCCCAATCCCACCCTCCCTCCGTCATCTGCTCCCTGCCCCTTTCCTAGGCCACTGATAGGGGAGGACCTCCTCCCCTTTCTTTTTTTTTTTTTTCTTTGTTACAAAGAAAAATGGTATTGGCAATTATTTACTAGAAATTATTTTTCTAATTTACAGTATTTTAAAGACATCAGTTACATATTCAAGAGAACTGTGGCAAAGCCTAGACACACTGATAAAAAGAAAAATACAATGAGGTTACATAGGACATTTTTGTTTTCTATAAATTATTTATGGAAAATTATATTTATTTATTAAATATCATTTCTTATGTTGACCCTGTTTTATCAGGTATCTTCAGAACTGGCTGCAAAGTCCTCCTCTGTGGCCTAGCAGGGCTGCTCCTCCCTTGGGGGGTGGAGAGGTCAAAGAGCCTGCTATTGAGATCATGTCAGAAACAGTCTCTGTTCCCCTTACCAGCAGTGTATCAAAGCACATACTAAGACTCATAACCAAACCTTCGGCAGAGTGCAGGGAATCATATGAAAGAAGGGGAGTTAGTATGATGTGGAGAGGATAGGAGCTCCACAAGGACCAAATATATCTGGGCACAGGGGTCTTTTCTGAGACTGATACTCCAACCAAGAACCATGCATGGAGATAACCTAGAGCCTCTGCTCAGATGTAGCCCATGGTAGCTCAGTAACCAAGTGGGTTACCCTGAGTTGTTTTGATCGTGATGTTTCATCACAGCAACAGAGAAGGAACTGAGATCGTTTGGGAAACGTGGTTCTTCCTGCCTAGGATTGCCTTGGCTATCCACAATCTTTTTGTGTTTTTACATATGAACTTTGGGAACATTTTCCTAGTTCTGTGATGAATGCACTTGGATGCATTGGATCTGTAGGTTACATGGGTTAGCACAGCTGTGTTCACACTGTTAGGTCTACAGATCCAAGAGCATAGATGGTCTTTTCGTCATTTAGTGTCTTGTTAATTTCTTTTTTCAGGGTCTTAAAGTTTTCAAGATCTTAAAGAAGTTCCTTACCTCCTTGGTTTAATTTATTCCTAGATAATTTTTAAGCTACTATAAATAAAATGTTTTTCTTAATTTCTTTCTCTAGAAATTTGTTATTGGTGCATGTGTAAGTGTGTGTGTGTGTGTGTGTGTGTGTGTGTGTGTACGTGCACTACTGAAAATAGTTTTCAATTTTATTTATGTGAATGTGTATTATGTGTGTCAGTATGTGTGTATGCATGCCACAGCACACATGTGGAGGTCAAAAAACAACTTTCTGGAGTTGGTTCTCTCCTTCCACCCTAGATACAGGCACTAATGAGCTACTGATTGTTTTTAGTGTTGGTTTTGTATCCTGAAACTTTATTCACAGTGTCAGATCTATATGTTTTTAGTGACAGATCTCAATATTCAAGCACCTATGTCTCATGGAAAATAATTGAATGCTTCCAGATGGAAGAAAAAGAAAAGAGTCAAAGTTTCTGCAAGTTCAGGGTTGGAGGGATGGCTCAGCAGGTGAGAGCACTGGCTATTCTTCCTGAGGATCCAGGTTCAATTCCCAGAATCAACCTGGTGGCTCAAAACTACCTGTAACTCCAGTTCCAAGAGATCTGTTGCCCTCACACAGACGCAACAACAATGCACAGAATAAATGAATAAACAATTTTTTAAAAAAAAATTTATGGAGGTTGTAAAGGTCTGAGAAAGTGACTTAAAGTATGTAAAATTGAGATTTAAAGGTAAAGCACACGCTACTAAGACTTCAAAGTTCAAAGTTTTAACATAGTCATCAGTGGATTTATGATAAAGTATTAATCTAACCTTGGCAAAACAATGGCTACTATGATCATAATCACAGGCTCAAACATTTTCAATTTCCTTTGGTTGTTTTTTAAATATAAACTTAAAGTATTCCTCATTGTGCTGAAAATACCTCCGTCCAACCTATATATATACAGATGTACCTCCAGCCTGTTGATAATGGCTCTGTTTTGCTACGGCTCAAAGGTGTGAGTCTACTCTAGCTGTTTACAGACCTTGCTAACTGCTTTTTCTACAATATGGGTGCAGATTACAAACGGACATACTAATACATCTAAAACTGTTAGCTCTTTCTGTAAACTTCAGAAAAATTCATGCAGTCAAACTTCAGGGAATTGAGCCTTGGGTCCATCCATCACAGGTCAAGTGGACTCTGAGATCCCTCGCCTAAGAAGTATTCCTGTCAATCAACGCCTAAGCTTTGCTGCCTACTGCCTACCCCTGAGGGTGGGCTCTTTTCTTCCCCTGATCTTGGGACTCCTTTGCACACCCTCCAACTACCAGACCCATAGGCCTGGATGTTTCAAGTGAATACCCAAGATAAAGATTTTTCCCCTAAGCTCCTTAACTTTATTGTCTGTCCCTCACCTATATCTGCCCCAGCAGACTTCCACTCAGCAGCTAACAGACACCCTCCAGTAATCAACTGTGGTCCTGTAAACTACTCCAAAATGGACTTCACCTCTTATCCCCAAACGGTCCTGCAGAACTGGCAAGCCCGGACCTTGCCGAAAGCTAATGTGTGAAAGAGGACCAGCTCACAAACTATGGCCTCCAAGGGCTGACTTCAAGGCTTTTCTTTGGTCTCCTTGGGCCACTAGCTCCTACCGGCTCCCAGACTTTGACCCACATCGTAGTCTTCCTGGATCACCATAACGAGCTGCCCAGCTGAAAAGCAGCTTCAGAAGAGACAGAAGGTCCTCATCATCAACAAGAAGCCAGAATGACGGGTCTAAGGGCTGTCCAGATATGCAGAAATGAACTTAAACTGGATTACCAGATTTTGGTGGTTAGATGAAAGCCAGCATTCCTCGGGAACTTGTGAAACCAGTTCCCATCTGCCAAAAGGAGTTATTTCCCTTACCTCTGGCAGAAGGTACATATGGCTACCTGTGGCACCTTTCAGCCTGACTCCAGGCTCCCTCAGCATCACAAGTATCAGTTACACATTTCAAAGTCCACGCTAGCATCTTAGCCCTTCTCACCTCTTCCTTAAAGTCCCGCCAGCTCACAGGCTTCCCTCCTCTAGCTATTCATCCACAGCTAGTCTCACTGTCCTCTCTTTCTCTGTCTCCCACTTATTCTCTCCTATTCTCCCACTCTCTCTGGCTGGGTTCTGTTCTCTATCTCTTGCTATGTCGCTGTCTCCATTAGTCTCTCCCAGTCTCTCACTACCCTAGCCCTGAACATGTCCAGCTGGCTTCTTTCTCTCTCTGTGTTGAACTCTTCCTCTGGTTGTTCCTTCTCTCATGTCTACAACCTTAACCCTACCACAAATGGCAGAGATTTTATAGCCTCCCACTTCCAGACCTGGTGTGTGACTTTCTTAAAAGATGATGACTCTTAAAGTATATTACATTTCAGACAGAAACAAACAAAACAAAAACCTAGATCAGTCCCTAGACAAAACAAGTGAAAGGAATGAAGTTCGTAACAGTGAGTTCTGACAGAAAAGGTTTCCCGCTGAACACTGCTATATTTTTTAAAAAATTAATACTGAACCACAATTTCAAATGCTTAGTTTGGTATTGAAACCAAAACCATATCTTTATATATATGCAGCATAGGGGCATAGAAAAAAAAAACTTCAAATAAAGGAAGCCCAGCATGCCTGAATTATTTTTATAGGATTTTTTGTTATGGGGGGGGGGGGGCAGTACACATAAGTGCCGGTGCCCATGGAAGCTGTAAGAGGGTCCCAGACAGGACTCATCGTCATCCACACCACCAATGTGTCTCACTTCTGAGCTGGGGGAAAACAGGCTTCCTTGCCCTCCCTCACTGTCAGTGCTGCGATGGCAGAACAGCCAGAGGGAGAATACTCAGGCCTGTGGCATCATTCCAAGAATTGTGGGCCAAGTTAGGACACAGGGCCAGATGTGTAGCTGGCAGTGAGGGCATGTACAGGCAGGAGGCTGGCTTTGGGCAGGACTAGGTAGGATGTGTGTCATTAAGAAACACAGATAACCAATGCTATTCCTGTTGTACTCTGGCTCTGACCCCCCAAGCCCCTGAAACCCCAAACATAGTCCCCTCTCATCATAGAAGGAGATGCTGGGTTCACACTGGGCTCCCAGGCTCCCTCAGTCCACAGCTGCAGCAAGTTCTCAACCACAGGAGGCTAAAAGGTCTCTCTTGGGCCCTTTCAGAAATAAGCCAGGACAGCTCATGCCCTCTAGAATCCTCAGGAGATTCAGTGCAATTTTCTGGCCTCTGTAGGCTCTTCATACATACGTACATATAAACATGCAGAAAAGAAAAGTACCAACCTAGCATGCATGATACTCTGGGTCCGACCCTCAACACTACACAAGCCAAGGAGTCCCAGTGCTTGAGAGATAGAAGCAGGGAAAGCCAAAGCCCAGGGTCACCAGCCTCAGTAAGAGTTTAGCGACACCCTAGTATATAAGTGTGTTAGTTGGGATTTCTTTTGCTGTGATAAAACACTATGACTAAGGGTTTATGTCAGCTTACAGTTCCACATCGCCACTAGGATGTGGGTCTTCAGAAACCTTAAGAGTACCACAGTGAGGGGTCCAGGTCAGAGAGGGGACAGGTACAGGAGGAAGAGATAAGCACAGATGAGTCGACCCAACTTGCACCCCACTATAAAACACCATCCCAGACAAAGAGAGAGCCTTCCAACAGTGGTTTCTAGAAAAGCCACTTCTCTCCCAGGCCACCCCTAACCCAGACCCTAACCATCTTCTCTGGAATTCTGAATCTTCACCAGTCCTGTGGCACACCCACCCTACCCATCCTGGAGGCTCACTCCCACGCTGAGCACAGCTCACCTTTTCCACGGACACATTGGGATGCAGGCTCAGCTTCCCCCAGAAATCCACCTTTTTCTTCTGAGCATCTTTTTGACCCGGCTGTTTGAGAATTGTTTCACTGGGGCACTCAGTAGATAATTTGGCTGTTTGACCACTGGGAGGTTTCTGAAAATAAAAATTGGCCTCCCAGGTAACTGCACAGCATCCTCCCTCCTACAGACCATGGAGGTCAGAGGCAGCAGATAAAAGAGCAGTCAAAGAGACACCACCCTGCACAAAGGCCAGTGGGGTATCTGGACGGGGCTTAGGATACTCTGGGGATAGGGGATTTCCATTCTAAGTGCCGAGCAACTTTGTTTTGTAGGGCAACTTTGCCTGTAGGGTAGACCCTTCCTTTGGCCTGGAAGTGAGGCTAGAGAGACCTAACCCCCATTCTTCCCAAGCTGTGAGTGCAGAGGCCTAAACTGATCAGCACAGTGTCTGACAGTAATGTGTATTCACTTTACTGATTCTCATAGCACCCTGAAGAGCCTGACTCTCAGGGCGCCATGACTTGTAAGCGCTTCACATCACCGCACATCTCGTAGGACTATAAAGTATGTACATCTCGCAAGAGAACTTCAGCTCAGCAGACCCTGCAGGAGCTGGCCTACATGGCCCCATACCTGGGACTGGGGAAGCTGGCATCTCATTCAAGTTTCAGGGCTCGGGAATGGGAGTCAGACCGCAGCTGCAGAAGCAACTGGGCTGCTTCCTCCATCCCTCTGCCCCTACATTCCTATACTCAGTGTTGGGATAATGTCATCACTCCTACGAGTCCAAGGTCAGTTTACCCTCCTTCAACCCTTGCTCCCTTCCTACATCCTAAAAGAAAAAAAAAAAAAAACAGAGTTGTCAAATAAATCCTAGGCCTTCAGGGCTTGGAAGTGAAGACCATCTTGCTACCCTTTGCCCTTCTGCACTGAAGCTTAGGCTCTGCAGAGGTGGTGATTGGGGACCCCTACAGTTCACTCCTGAACCAGGGCCAGGCCAGGAGGCTCCATCTTAAGAAGAGAAGTTGTAGTCCATGACCTATCGTTCAATTTAGGCTTCTAGAAGTGTGTACCCTGTAGGTTCTATTCATAAGCTTTCAACTCTCAGACCTGGGCTGGAGATGCTCTAGGAAGGGGCACCCCCAGACTTGAGTAAGCAGAGTGGATCAGCCATAGTGGGAGCAAACCAGAGAAGTAACCTGCCCCCTGCCCACCCCCACCCCCACCCCCACCCCAAAATATGGTCAGAACAAGTGAGCTGTAGGTGCAGGAGGGATGGGCTCACTCCCACCTCCTGAGACATTTTCTTTTTTTGCTCAGGGTCTCTCTGGTGATGCATCACTGGGGGAGCTGACATCAGCCTCCGTGTCGCAGAGTCAGAAGGCTTCCTGCCAGGTGAGTGAGCCCACTTTTGCTCTTCACTGTTTTGGGCTTTAAATTTGAATTCCTCTGCCTCTTTCACCTGTGCAGAGAGAGGGCCAGCTCCAGAGATCCCATCACAAGTGGGGAGTTCAGGGCCTTCTAGACCCAGTACAGAGGTCACCAGCCCTATAAGAAACCCAGCATTGCTGCCCAAAAATCTTATACCTGAGAGACTTCAGACCAGATCTTATAAATATACTCCTGTGCCTATTACTAATGCCCTAGGCAGGACACAGCTGCCGAGAGAAACTGGATCTCCCTATCTGAAACATGGATGGTGGTTTCCAAATATTTGCTTAGTCACTTTCAATCTCAGGCAAGCCCACAGTATAAAACAGATAAAACACTGAGCTGTCTGTGGGGATGTAGTACCTATTAGAGCCCCAGACCTCCACAGGAGATTCTACCCATCAGTGTACCTACAAAGAGGTGACCTCCACCCACTGGAGAAGGTGACCCCTAGCACCACTCCAGCTTTAGGCTGCTATAACATAGCGATTTAGAGACTGTGCTAAACTTGCAATTTAAAGATTGGGCAAATTTCCTATGTCCCTAATCATGAGACTGGGGAGCCATGTATAAGATTACTGCTCAAATGGGGAAGCTGTGGGTGCTACTGCCAACATGATGGGATTAGGAAGTACCTAGAGAAGAGTAAAGCAGTCTCTGGGCGTCTGTGAAAGTGTTCTCAAGGAGGAAAAAAAAAAAGGAGGAAAGATCAACCTCGAATGTGTGCCCAGCTGGAACAAAAGAGGAAGCCCATTTCTCTGGCACCCCTTTCTCTGCTTTCTAGTCACCCTGATGTGAGCTACTCTGGCTGGCCTGGCCCTCTTGCCATGGCAAACTGGAATCTCTGAAACTGTGAACCAAGTTAAGTCTTTCCTCCTTTTAACTTGCTTCTGTTACGTATTTTGCTACAGCAATGAAAAGCTAACAGTGGACCATCTTCAAGGAGGAAATAATCTGTTGAAAAGGAGAACATATCACTACTAGGCCCTGGAGTCAGACTGTCATGGTCTAGGTCTACCTTTTCTTGGATGTATGCCCTCATAAAGGTGCCTAAGTTCTTCATGCCTCTGTTTTCTCCTCTGTCACATCAAGATGCTCATAGGAGCCTCCTTCCACTAGCCTCACTATCAAACCCCCCACCCCAGTACAACCATCCATTTCTTTCTCTGCTCCCATGGTGCTCTCTCTCTCTCCCTCCCTGACTCTGTCCCACAGCCCAGACAAAAATAAAAGGAGACTGTGATTGGAGTGAAATGTGCCTAGGAAAGTAGGAGAATGCAAGGCACTATGACTGTACCTTCTTCAGCTGTATAGGCAAAGGGCTCCTAGAGGCATTGAAACTCAAGATGGGCTTCAACATGCTCACATTCCAGAAAATGATGTCGCCATTGTAGGAAGCGGTCCCAAGGAACTGGTTCTGATACTTGGCCATGCACAGGATGTCCTCCGTGTGAAAGGTCTGCCAGTGGTAGCAGGAGAGTACCAGCATGGTCCTGTGGAATGTGTGCACATGGCCAGAGGCAAGAGGGCCAAGAGCTCACAGGCTGCAACGCTCTTTGTGGGAAGCCACAGCCTTTAGGATTCAGAAACCAACTTAGAGCAGCATTATCTCAGGGAGTCCAGGAGCTGGTTCAAAGTCCCCCACTGACCTCATTTCCTAGGCACCCACTATGCACCACACATAAAGGGTCTGCTCTTGAGGTTTACAAATAATGAGGCTTGATTCTTCTCCTGAGTAAAGACTCAGGTTTAAACAAGGGGAAATGATAGCTGTGACCAGGCCTCCTGTCTGGTCAGGAGGGCACCTTGTGCATGTTGGTCCCATGCACAAGGTACTTCCCTGACACCCCTCCCACTTACCCTGAGCTCACATCTCTCCCTAGGCCTCCTTGACTCAGCTGCTCAGAGCACTCTCCAATACTAACCAGGTCTCTGCTCATTCCCCACACCAGCCAATAACCTTCATAAATCCAGTTATCTCATTACTTAATAGAAACTGAGTGTTTGCATGCACTCAAAATTCCTATGTTAGAACCTAATCCTCAGGTGAGGAATGGAGCCTCTTGGATGACATCTGGTTGTGACGATGGAAGCCTCATGAATGGTGTGATAAAGAAACCAAAGACAGATCCTTCACCCTTCCCCTCCCACACACAGAAACTACAGCAAGACGATGGCCCTTTATAAATGAAGAAAGGCTCTCTTACAAGACTCCACAATGCTTTGGCCTGGGACCTTTCAGATCCTACGGCTGCAAGAAACAAACCTCCATAGTTTGCATGCCATGCACTCTGTGGTGGTATGCTATGGCGGCCTACATGAGTAAGGTAGAAACTATACAGAGGAGCAAGGTGCTGTTGTAACAGGTAACACCTAAAAATGTGCAGCTAACTCTGGAGGGAGCAGATGGTCAGAGACTGGAAAAGTTCTAAGACATACACCAGGAAAAGCCCCTCTGGGCCATCAAGGATGGTTCCAGCAAGGACATGGGTGGTTCAGGCGAGGCCATAGAAAGAGGAATAGAGAAGGCCATGCTGGGATGTAGCCCCATTGATAAGTGCTTGATGAGCATGTGTGAAGCCCTAGATTTGATCCCAAGTGCTGAATAAACTGGGCCTGGTGGTGATGGGATCGGTGGTGATGGCTATGATCCCATCACCAGAGAGGTGAAGGCAAGAGGATCAAAACTCTAACATAATCTACATAAGAGAGTTCAAGGCCAGCTTAGCTATAGGATACAGAGGGAGAGGGAGAGGGAGAGGGAGAATGTGTTCCTCCGATGCTGGAGCTGGAACCCAGGCTAAGCTTGTATTCAACCACTGAGTTATATGCCCAGCCCCATCTTTTCAAATATTACCTAAGTGATCCTAAGTTGCTGGTAACAATACAGATGGCAATGGCCATTCTGACATCTCAAGTAGAAATGAGGAGCCCACCACTGGAACCTGGAGGCTGAGCCATCCTTGGTACAGAGTGATAAAGAGCTTGGCTGGACTGTGCCACATTCTAGTGCATTGTAGCAAGTAGCATTTGCAGGCCTTGAGACTCAGATATATGTTTGAATGAGGAGATTTCTAAGAAAAAAAATTTGAAGATATAGACAGTTTTCTCCTGTTTATAGTACTATTCTCGAAAAGAGAAATAATTTTTAAAACACAGTTGTTGAGCCAAGGGGAAGAAAATCTGAGATTGTTGCTCAATGGTAGAGCATTAGCCTAGCACATATGAGGCTGTGGCTCAGTCCATAGCACCAAAACGGGATAAAGAACAGAGTTGAGACCTTCTCTTTTCAGCCTTTATCAACTGAAAAGAAAGATAAGCCTGCCAGGGTGTGGTCCAGACTGTCTGATGAGAACACTATGGGTCAACCACTTGGCAGAAGCTGAGCCCTATGCCCTAACACCAGTGGTTCTCAGCCTGTGAGTCTTGACTCTTTGGCAAACCTCTATTTCAAAAAAAAAAATATTTAGACTATGATTTATAACAGCAATCAAATTACACTTATAAAGTGGCAACAAAAAAAAATAATACATGCTTGGAGTGGTCACCAAAACTTGAGGAACTGTATTAAAGGGCCCCAGCGTTGGGAAGAGTGAGAACCACTGCCTAAGACAATAGAAGAATGACTCAAAGATGAATTTAGGCATTTAAACTGTCCTTCCTGCTGCAAAAGGGTATCAGAGAAGAGGCCACCAGGACAGGTTGTACCTCAGTATCCCTTGCTCTCATCACCTTACTTCATAGTCTGTCAACTCACATTCTGATATCATGTTGTTTAGCCATAGCTCCTGAGAATGGTAGTATGATACAAGCTATACCAACAGAAATAGGAAAGCTTGGCTGTTTCTATCATCTAGATTCCAGCAGACAAAGCCATGGGTTCAAAACTCCAGCCCCAGCCAGCCACAGGACCCATGCATAGACTAGAATCATCACAGGGGTTATCACCTGGGCCCAGGGCACCAAGAGATCCCAGCTTTCCAAAGGCAAGAAAGCAGATTGTCTGGAGCCTTATATGTCTAGCCCCTGCAAAACAGGGTCTCTATCTCAGGGGCCTTGGAGGCAGAGCACCAAAAAAGAGGATTCTTTTGGAGTCTTAAGATGACTCAGTGGATAAACACACTTGCTGCTAATTGTGATGATCTGAGTCCAATCCCTGGAACCCTCATGGTAGAAGTAACAAACTGACTCCCACAATTATCCTCTGACCTCTGCCATGTGCCATGGCACACAAAATAGATAGATGGTAGAAATTAGTTAGTTAGAGAGAGAGAGAGATAGGCAGACATGGATGGATGGATGATGGATGGATAGAATAGATGGGTGAATAGATGGAGGGTGTGTGGATGAGAGATCTGAAATTTGTTTCAGTGAGTTCAGACTCATTGGGATTTGTTGTTCCTTTCTTCCCTCCTGTCTCCATTCATCTGCCCCGTACCCATCTCACTGGTGGACTCTGGAAGTATACATAATTATCCCATGTCACATTTTTATGGCCAAGAGAGAACTTGCCTCAGGATAAATGGTACACTCAGTCCCATCCACATCTAACTAGTTGGTTGCCTTGTCCCTTCTTGCACCTTAGTTCCTTGGGAAAGGTGTCAGCTCTGAGATAATTATGTAGCCCAGCAATTCCAGGGCACCAATTGTGAAAAGAGCTTGAGGGCTGCAGAAATGCATTTTGCATCTGAGGACATGAATTTTGGGGAGCCAGAGGTAGAACACTATAGACTGAGTTTTGTTTTGTTTCTCTTCAACTCATGTATTAAAACCTAACCCCCAGTGTGAGTACACAAGGAAGCCAAGCCTTTGGAATATAGTGAGGTCACATGGGTGGAACCTTCAACCCTGTAAGATTATAGAAAGGAAAGAACCTTCTAGAACCAAGAAGCAGGCTTCACTAAAAGCCAAACCTGCTAATGCCTTTGGCTCAGACCTCCAGGAATATAGGAAGTAAATTCCTGTACTTTGCAAGCTACCAGCCAATGGCATCTTGTCATAAGAGATTGATGTAATTCCCCCACAGAATGAGTGGCTCCATGCAGATGGAGACTATTGCTCTTGCCATGACTATCACCAGCAGTGGGAAGCATCTCTCCACATAAAGGAATGGATGGGTAGAGCAATGAAATGGCTGACGGCCACCACGGGCACCTGCTAGCCACTGCAGCTGCCGGGAATGCACAGCGAGGAAGGCACAAGCTAAAGGGAGACACCCAGCCCGAACCTCCCGTCACACTTGCTGCTCACGTGAAATGGGTGATTCTCTTGCTCCACCCTGCCATGTAGTATGCTTTCTTCATGTGGACAATTCCACTAATCTGTTGGAGTTAAGGAAAGCAGAGCAATAGATTCCTCAGAGAGCATGCCTTTGAGCCCAGGTGCTTTCCTAAATGTACCCACCAGGAAGTCAAAACTCAATGAAGGTGGAAATTCCTAGAGTCAACGCCATCGCTGAGCTTTCAGAGTATCTGCTAATTATCTACCTGAAGGGAACTAGAAACCATCAAACCTGGTGTATCTGAAAGAGACAGAAAATGTGGGTACCCATGGCCATTTTACAGAAGAGATAACTAAGCAACATGTGACCTGACTGTAACCCAGCTAAGGTCTGATAACAGCTGAGGATAGCACATAGATCAGTATTAAACCCCCTGGTTAGTGTGTGTGTGTGTGTGTGTGTGTGTGTGTGTGTGTGTGTGTGTGTCTGTCTGTCTGTCTGTCTGTCTGTCTGCCTGTCTGTGTGTGTACACATGCACAAATGAAGGCCAGAGGTCAACCTCCAGTGTAGATTTTCAGTTATTCACTTTGTTTGGGGCAAAGAGCTCTCTTACTGGGAACTGGAGCTCACCAATTAGGCTAGTCTGGCAGAACAGCAAACCTCAGAGATCTGTCTCCACCTCCCCAGTGTTGGGATTAGAAGCCCATGTCACCATACCCAGCTTTTCATATGGATGCTGTGGATCAAACTCTTCCACCAGCTGAGCTCTCTCCCCAGAACCCTCTCCTCGGGCTTCTTGATCAAATACTATTTCTGCACAGATTAACGGAAAGGGGCTCAAGTCCCAGAGGCACTTATGCTGCCTCTGCTCTATCCATGGACTGTTCCTAGAGCCCTAACAAGTACTTTCTGTCTCAGGCTATCCAGATGTCCAGAAATGAGATCAATGCGGACTACAGGAGGATTTCTGGTGGTTACATGAAAGCCAGCATTCCTCCGGAACTTGTGAAACCATTTCTTATCTTCCAAAAGGAGTCGTTTCTGTTCCTCTGGCAGAAGGAATACCTGTGGCACCTATCTGTTTATCAAAGCCCATGCTGGCCTCCAGGCTCCTGGAGTATCTCAAGTACCTCTTACACATTTCAAAGTCCATGCTAGCATCCTAGCCCTTCTCACTGCCCCAGGTTTCCCTCTTCCCAGATGCCCATTGGTCCTCTTTATAATGGCAATCCTCCCCCATCCCCATGCACCACTATTCTCACTATACTCTCTTTCTCACTATCTTATTCTCCTATGCTCTCTCTTGTACTTTCATTCTCTCTCTCTCTCTCTCTCTCTCCCTCATCTACAATAAAACTGTTAACCATATCATAAAGGAGTGAGCATAGGAGCCTCCAGATCAAATACTCCCACTGCTAAAAACACAACCCAAAGCCCCAAGGTACGGAAGAACAATAAATACATCCTTGCAGATTTTAAATGCAAGAGCAATTGGCATGTGTGGAATCCTCGCTAGGGAGGAGAGTCCAAAGGCTCGGGCAGGTCTGAAGGTAGGCAGCCTGACCATGCTGCGCAGCCTCCCAGACACATGGAAATCCCCAGCTGATGGACCCCACTGACCTCCACTCCGTCCGGGTTGGGAAAGCTCATCAGGCACTCCCCAGTGTTGTAGTTCCACATCTGCAATATGCCGTCACGCAAGCCTGTGAGCAGACACCGTTCCGACTCATCCAGTGCCATGGCGGTCAGCTCGGCTTGCTGGATGCCACACACAGAGAACTCCATCTGCTTCTTGCCCGTGGTGATGTCCCACACACTCACGGTGCCCACTAGGCAGCCACTCACCACCTGTAGGCACACACACACGCACACGCACACACTCATTGCAGAGCAGTCCTAAGTATGTCCTGGCCCCTCTCCCCTCCACATCCCGACCCTCACCTCAACAAACTGTGCCTGAAAATAGGCCTTCCTGAGCTGTGTCACAAAACTGCAGCTACCACTCTTTTTAAATGAATTCATTTCATAAAGCCCCCATTAGTGCAAAAAACTAAAATGGCACTTAAGAGCTCAAGTTCCCAGAAGAGATGGGAAAGCCATACCTATTTTAAAGATTTTACAGCACTAGTGGAGTTGTTTAAACTTCATGACTATGGAAGGTTGGACTGTTACAGATCCAGACCCAAATGATCCTGGGCTATCTTTAGTTCCCTTAACAGCCACTCATTGTCCACCTTTGTGTCTGACCTAGCACCCTTTCAACTCTGAGTAAACACCTTTAAACTGTATTAGCTTAGCTGAACACCAGCTTCCACTGACTGGAAGGCTGAGAACAACATCAGCTAACATCTGAGACCAACAGCAGGGTGACCCCAGCTTTACCGTCACTCACCTACCTGATGCTCCCGCCAATACATCTGGGGAAATGCCTCCGTTTAGGGCTTTCTTTCATCTCGTGACTATAAAAGCTCATGTAACCACTTCAACATCAGAACATGTAATTTGGGACAACACGAATCCATGTTCCCAGACCACAGTTATTCATATTTGGTGTCACATTAATATTCATTTTCTTCCCCATGGGGTAAGAGGTGTGGTTTACATCAACACACTTATCACTCTCTCTGTAGAAAAGAATCCATTGTATAGAGACATGCCTGCCAAAGCACCTTTAGTCAGGACCAAAATGAGAGAGAAAAATCTAAGCAGGGGACAGACTCCCAGCACCTCCACAGAGAAGCGCTGAAGACACAAGATAGCAGTGGCTTCTCTGCCTTCATCCTGCTCTAAGAGTGGCCTGAGAAGTTACTCTAGACTGACATTGCCACTGAGAAGAGCTGAGCATGTTTACAGACAGAAATAAAATGCTCCTTTGCAGCACTGAAGAGCCCTAAGGCAGCTGGACACTGAGACAGTGGCGCTAAAAGCTGGAACAGGACGGCAGCCCTGGCCTTACATAGCCAGAGGCCAGTCCTGCACAGACAGCTGCCCTGTCCACTGCCCAGATCTGACAAGAGGTGCTGCTGGGAGTGGCCAGAAGCCTGCAGCCCTTTCTGTCTACGATGCCTAGAAGTATTCTGTATGCCCAGCTGTCCTGCCCACACTAAAGTATCTCCTAAGCCGAGGGCACAGGCTGCTCTGTCCTTCTCATAAGAAACAGAATGCAGCTTCTGCAAGGAGGGTAGCTCATGGGATGGGAACCTTGAAGACTACCCCACACCAGCATGTTTCCTTGCTAAGAAGACTGCCTGCCCAATGCTGACCTAAGTGACACAGGCCAAGGCAGGGATGCCCAGAGGGTCAACAATCCAGATCAGGGAGCTTAGTCAGATCCCATGCCAACCGGTCTGCAAGAATACTTCCTATCTAGATTTTGGTGACACCAGGACTACAAAAGCACTAGCCATTTCCAGAGTGCCATGTGAACTCACTGATACCTGAATGCAGATGTGGGTACATGGAAAGGCCTGGGTCCTGACACTGGCACTTCTCCCAGCTGCTGAGGCCAGTCCTGCCCACTCACCTGTTTAAATATCTTGCTATAGAGGACGGCACACAGGATTGAGCTGTGAGTTGTCATCTTCCCTGTTTTCGTGGGGCCCTGGGACTCCAAGTATCCTCCAAGGATCCCAATCTGCAAGGTGGGGGGAGACCAACAGCTGTGCAGTCACATGAGCTCTGCCCTCTGTGACAAAAGTCTGGAGGAGAAACCTCTGGTACTGTTACATCAGGACATCCTCTGCCCGCACAAGGCTCCTCAACAACTCAGAATTCCATTTCTCCTCTTACCCCACCCCCAGGTCCCTATTCCCAGGACTGGGATGCCTGGTCCCTCATGATCCAATAACCTTAAGGCCCAAGTCCATCATCCTCTCACCTTCCAGGTGTTTCCTTTGTAGGCAGACATGAAGATATTGTAAAGAGACACTTGTATCTTTCGATCTGACTATGGGACTGTTGGAAAAATGGACCCCAGAGAAATGGGAATTTCCCTGGGGATCTCACGCTGGGAGAAGGAAAGTGTACCAGCCAGAAGAGATGCTTGTCTCCCAGAAAGAGATTACACATAGTTCTGACAACTTATCAGACTATTTTACAGGATGAGACTGGAGTCCAGATAATGTTGGGTCAATAGTGAGCATGACCACAACTTGCCTGGGACTGTTTAGATATGCATGCCTTTGGCCCTCTATTTAAACTTGGATCTCACTTCAGCACCCCAAAGATGGACCACTGGGGTTTGCTAGACTGCTTCCCAATGTGACCACAAATCTCCTTTTTCTGTTTTCCGCTGTTGATATGGCTCTTTTGTTGTTGTTTGTTTGTTTGTTTGTTTGTTTGTTTTTTGAGACAGGCTTTTTCTTTGTAACATTGGCTGTCCTGGACTATCTTTATAGACCAGGCTGGCCTCAAACTCACGGAGAGCCACCTCCCAAAGTGCTGGGATTACAGACATGCACCACCGCTCCCGGCTTAACTTGGCTCTTTTAGTGGGCTTGTTGAGAACTTGACTGGAGGTATAAATTATGACCCACAAATCTAGTAACACCCTCAGGAAGCCTTCTGTAACCATTCCAGTGCCACTCAAAAAAGACTTCCTGTGCCCATGAGCCCTTAGAATCCAACACTGTCACATGACCTTGCACTTCCTACCGAATTAACCTTAGTAATATGCTCTCACGCCCCAACAAAGCTTGGGATTAAATGCTGTCGCAGCCCCACCCAGAGAGCCTACACTAATGCCCAGAACGATTAGAAATGAGCTTCAAAGGTCTAGTTAATTAAAAAAAACTTAAAAAAAAAACACTAGCAGCCAATCCAGCACCCAGCAGAGAGTAAACACCTACCCTTCTCTCTTTCTCTCTCTCTCTCCATAAACCTGCTGCAAAGAGGAGAGCCAGCCATGTGCATAGAAAGATGTCTGTGACCCTTAACAGAGTGTTCCGCCAACAGTGGGTACATGGCCTCAGTGAAGCTCCCTATACAGAAGCTCCTATCTTTGGTCTACCCCTTGGCTCCCATGTGGTACCAGGCCCCATCATGGCTCTGGCCAGTCCTCTCTCTTTCCATCCTCAAAGTCAGAGCAGACCCATGGGCACCAGGCAGGTCATAGCTCACAGGCATTCTTCCTGACAGTTTTCTTTTCTCTAGGGCCTCTCTGCCTTCCTGGAGTTCATAGTTAAAACTGAAGGGGCCAAAGGAGCGTGGAGGGATGACAGGAAAGTCCAAAGAGTGCAGGCATAGAGAGGAATAGAAACAGCAGGGGTGGAAAAGAGGATGAGCTGGGGTCCAGAACCCACTCTCAAGGAAGCTCAAGAGCCAGGGCCTCACAAACTCCAGAGCCAAGGCAGCACAGGACAGACCCTGCTAGCTGTGTCCAAGTCCTAGGACAGTCACTCACGTTGTAGGTGCTACAGATGAGGGTGCTGTCTCTGTGGAAGTAGGCGCTGGTGATGGGGCAGCTGCCCAGAGGGAAAAACTTCCCACAGAAGGACTGGAGGCACGCATAGTCATGCAGGTCCCACACTCGAATGTTCTGTAGGGAGTAGGCAAAAGCGTCTGCAGATGCAGCCAGCATCCTAGGTCCTGGGGACGCTCCTGTGAGCAAGGCCACCACATAAAAAGTGTCTGCTGTTGCCCCAGCCCCACCTAGAGAGGCTGAACTAATGGTCTGATAACCTAGGTTCCCAAGCACCCCTGGCCTGCCTGGCCTCCTAAGCTCAGCAAGCTAAAGCAAAGACAGCAGGCAGCCCATGCCCTACCTCTGATCTTCACTTGCTCTCTGACTCCAGGCCAGTTCTAGACCATTTAGAGCTGGGCTCCACACCCACCAGAGGGAGCCAGAGGCTTGTGGCCACCTGCATAATGACTCTTCTAGGGCACCTCCCTGTGGATCTTTGGCAAAGTAAGAGCAGGGCCAGGAAGGTTACCTCTCTGCCACAGGCTCCTCCCAATACTAGCTGAGCTACATTATCACCCCAGGGTTAGTGTCTTTTCCCAGGGAACAGAGCTGGAGGTATGGGGGACAAAGGTATATGCTCCACGAGGTGACACCTTGTCCCTGGAAATGCTGATGAGGATGCTGGTGTACTTGCTGTTCACGAGGAGGTGCGTCACTGATGTCTGGTGTCCCTTCATCAGCCACACTGGCCTCTTTGAGACCAAGGGGTTCCACAGGCGGATGTGGGGGTCATAGCCACCAGTGACTGGAGTCAAGAAATGAGTATCAGCCACCAGAGCCTACGCTGGGACCTTCTTCCAGGCCCGAACTCCAGCCAGAGTTGACAGGTGGAGAAGGCCACTGTGATCTATCACTGTCCCTGTTGCCCTTTCCTCTCTGTCTCTGTCTCTGTCTCTGTCTCTGACAGGCCCTGAGCCACACCCCACCTCCCAGCGATGTAAATCAGCATCGGGGGAATCCTGACTTAGGCTGGGTGCTATGAAGCCTTGTCCTTGGACCTCAAAATCCCCAGGCTGCTGCAGCCCCCACCCCAACTCTGCTTCTGGGGAACACAAAGATTACTTACCCAAAAAGTTCCTCTCTGGACAGTAATCAAAGCAAAGAATTCCTTTTCTTAAATTCAGCGATGATAACCTAGAATAGAAAATCAAGGCGAGGGACGGGGGGTTGCAAGGCTAAGAGCAGCACCCTGGACCTGGGAAGGAGAAGAGCTAGGTGCTTGGTGGGGAACGGTCACTATCTATCCACCCAGAAGAAGAGAGGCCTCAGACCTGCCCAGTTGCACACACACACACACACACACACACACACACACACACACATACACACACCAGTACCCAAAGCATAGCCCAGGACTCCTGCTGAAGTAGCAGGTGCTAAAATCAGTAGCTCATGGGGAAGCACCCACCCTTTAGGAAGAAAAAAAAATCCCCCAAACACAAGCAAGTCTTTCCACTTGTAAAGTGATTCGTGTTGTTCCAAGAACAAAGTTTAACATGATTTTACATCAACCACCCTCAGGCAGGTATCCTCCAAGCCATGACACAAATAAAAATTAAAATTAAAAATAATAATTTTTTTAAAAGTAGCCCAGGGCTATTGGCACTGTGCCCTCCCTCTGTGTGGGGTGAAATCCCACAAGTCACCTGGGCTCCCATATGCAATCCTCATAGTGGCATTGCCCTGATGAGATGAGTGCAATGAGATCAAGAGCTTACCTAAGGGTGCCACAGTCACAGATCTATGGAGGGAAGAGGACTCTGCCCTGGTAAATACAACAGGAAATGGCTCCATTCCCCAGGAAGGGAGAAGAGGAAGAAAGGGCTGGGCAGGGTCCAAAGGTCCAAGAGACCCTAACAGGATCCCAAGACTGTGAGCCCCCTACACAGCCAGCTCTTTCTTATCGTCTTCACACCACACCATATCTACACTAGGGACCCTCAGCTTCCGTAGCAGCCTCCCAGCTGTTTCCTAACCTCCAGCCTCGCTTCAGTTTTTCAAGAACACATGAAAGCATGGATATTCCACCCACTGGCAGGCCAGAGATGTGGGCCAGTGAGATGGCTTAGGAGGTAAAGGCACTTGCTGCCAAGCCTGATGACCTGACTTGACTCCTGGGACCCAAACCATGATGGGAGAGAGTTGACTCCCACAAGTTGTCCTCTGACCTCCACAGGAGAACATCGGTATATACCACCGTCCCTATATTAAATACATGCTTTTAAAAAGCAAAAGACAGATGCCTCCATCTATGTGCCTATGCGCAGAGAAATTTTCTGCAACAACTGTCACCAAGACAAGATAGAAGGAATTACTTCAGACTGACTCACTCATCTACGATATCTGCTGCCTCCTGCTCCCTGCCTTACAGACCCTGTCTTCCAAAGCAACACACAGGAGCAAGGAAATGGAAAGAGACAAGAGGGCCAACTATGAGGGAGCCTGCAAGGGAAGCAATGGGATGGCTTAGCAGAGGGAAACTGAATGGCTCATTTTGGATATCCTCTCCGAAGAAGGTGATGGGAGGCAGAAACCTGCAGAGCAATTAGAAATGGCCAAGGAAAGCACGCAGGGAGATTCGAGGCTTCAGACCAAGGAAGCAGCAAGTCCAAGGTTATAGGGCTGCAGAAGTAGTCAGAGGCGAGGTAGGTAGGGCCTGGACTATAAAGGGTTTGTATAGGGCCCCAGCTGGAGATCTGCAGATGGTTGTGTGTATGGACAGCAGCCAGAGGGGATCTACTGAGCAGTGACAGTGACTCAACAAAGGGGGAGGTGGAAGGAAAAAGAAAAGAAAAAGGAGGGGAAGCAGCGCAGGTCAGTTCACACACTCCACACCAGCTCCTCCAACCCCAATCCCTGATTATTATCAGTTCCACTCCTGGCTTCAACCACCTGAAAAGCTCAGGTAAGACCAACTACGATGAAGATGGTCACTTAGGACCCTGGGAAAGTGAGGCTGACTCTACAGCGGTCAGGTTTGGCAACTTCAAGTGTCACCTATAATGGTTATTCCCCAAAAGGGCATCAAGTGCCAGAGACCAACAGGCAGCCAATAATGCCACCTTCTGCCCTGATGTGGTACTGCACCACAAGACAGAAGAGGAGGGAAAAGAGGGGAGGAAGGGACAGGAGAGGGCAGGAGAGGAGGAGAAACAGAGAGACAGAGAAATACAGAGAGACAGAGACAGACAGACAGACAGACAGACAGAGAACATGTGTGCTACCTCCTCCAACCTACCCCCAAATTAAATATTCTAACCTTGGGGGCTGGAGAGACGGCTCAGAAGTTAAGAACATTGCTTGTTCTTCCAGAGGTCCTGAGCTCAATTCCCAGCAACCACATGGTGGCTCACAACCATCTATAATGAGATCTGGTGCCCTCTTCTGGTGTGCAGGTGTACATACAGGCAGAATGTACATAATAAATATTTTAAAAAAGTATTCCAACCTCTCCACCTCTACTCTTGGCCAACTCCCGGTCACCATCATGCATAGCCTGAACTATTGTGATCATTTCCTCCCTGGTGTGGTCCTACCTCTTCCTTGTCCTTGGATTTGAAGACATACATTAGACCCACCATCCCTCTGCTCAAAACCATCTGCGCCTAATTCCAAAAGAATTAGAGCAAAGCACCCTGAAGAACTGGGGGAAATACTAACTTAGACTAGCTCCCAGGGAATGATAAGGAATTATGGATTTTTTTTATGTTCTTATGTATATATTTGAGATTTTTAAAATAAAAATATTAATTAACAACAGGTGGTGGTAGCAAATGCCTTCAATCCCAGCACTCAGGAGGCAAAGGTAGGTCAGTCTCTGATTTCAAGGCCAGCCTTGTCTACAGAACAACTAGGGGCTATACAGAGAAACCTTATCTCAGAAGAAAAGAAAGATGCAGGGAATGGTGATGCATGCTTTTAATTCCAGGATTCAGGAGGCAGACAGGATCTCTGTAAATTAGAGGCTAGTCTGGTCTACAGAGTGAGTTCTAGATGAGCCAGGGCTACACAGTAAGACCATGTCTCAAAAATAAAAATTTTCAGCTGGGTGCAGTGGCACACGCCTGTAATCCCAGCACTCAGGGAGGCAGAGGCAGGTGGGTCTCTGTGAGTTCAAGGTCAGCCTGGTCTACAAAGTGAGCCCAGGACAGCCAAGGTTACACAGAGAAACCCTGTCTCAAAATAATAATAATAATAATAATAATAATAATAAATAAATTTTTTAAAAAGAAAAAAAGGAGAGAAAACAAGAGAAAGCCTGGGCATTAGCTCAGTGATGGAGCACTCACCTAGCAGACACAAGATCTTGGGTCTGGTCCCCTGACAACAAGGGAAAAACAAAACAAGAAAGCCAGATATAGTGGCACATGCTTATAATCCCAGCACTCAGGTGATGGAAGCAGGAGGATGGCAAGTTCAAGGCTAGCCTGAACTACACAGCAAGACTCTGTCTCAAAATCTAAACAAAAAACAGAGAGAAAGAAAGAAAGAAAAAAAAAGAAGGAAGGAAGGAAAGAAAGAAAGAAAGAAAGAAAGAAAGAAAGAAAGAAAGAAAGAAAGAACTCTGCAGGTGAGAGAAGCAAAGGGCCTGGAGCAGGAGTGTGAACTCTGGGCCTAGTGTGTGTCTAGAATGGGAAGACAAAGCAGGTAAGAAAAGGAAGGCATCAGAGCCAGCCTCCAGAGGCCATGGTGAGGTGACCCTCTGGCCTCCTCCTGCCATCAAATGCAGTAAAACTAAAAACTCTAGAATGAAGGAAACATGTCAGAACTGTCTCAAGAATAAATGTGCATGCTTGTGCATCATGGCTTGCTGTAGAAGGATAAGGCATGCATTTGGCTAGACTCACTTATTCTGAGGTTGATTAGTTTTTTGTTTGTTTGTTTTTACAATATGGATCAACATATGCCACACAGAATATTATTCACTCAAGGAATCCTGAAGGTAAACAAGGTAGGCATTGTCTTCACTCTCTAAGGAAGAAACTTGAGGTCCCAGGATGACAACACTGGTTTCAGTACTTCTTTCAGGGGGGTGGACCCAGTACTGTTGAGCCCAGCCAATGGCACAGGCCTATAATGCTAGCCCTTGAAAGGTAGAGGCAGGAGGCTCAGAAGTTCAAGACCTGTTTGGGTTACATGAGACCCTGTCTCTATGTTTTCATGAGAGAGAGAAAGCAAGACATGCCTTTTTGTCTGCCTACTTAATATATGCTGGGGTTGATTTGATTTTGTTGTTTGTTTTTAACAAATTGGTGGGTAAAACAGGTGAACTAGGACTGGACAGGTGGCTCAGTGGGTAGTGTATTTGCCATACAAGCTTGAGGACCTGAGTTTGAACTCCCAGAAGCCATGGAAAGTTGGGCATTGTAGTGCACATCTGTAATCCAGTCTTTCTACAGCAAGCTATGATGCCAAACCTTCATGATCTCACAAGCCAGCCAGCCTGGTGGACACAGTCATCAACAACAAAGAGGCCCTGTCTCAAACAGTGGGAGTGAGGACCCACACCCAAGGTTGTCCTCTGGCCTCCACATGTGCAGTAAGGCATGTGCGCCCTCCCCACAGACACACATAGAGAGGAAGAGACAGACAGTCAGACAGAGACAGACAGAGTTGAAAGAGGCCTGTTACCCTTTTGCTACTGGTAGAAATTTCAGAATGATGATTAAACAGAAACCAGAGCCCATGTGCTAAGTCCCACATCCACTGTCAGCCTATGGGACACAAGCTACTTCCTGGAGCCTGGCAGGAGCCCCAGGACAGTGCCCTGCTGATGATACACCAACCCAGAGGCAAGTCCTCTCTCAGCAGGGCTATCTGCACGTGGCAGACAGAAGCCAGATCTGTCCAGGACTCACCTGCTATCCACCTCCCATCATCAGGTGCTCCTTACCTGGGTTTCTCAGGGCCTTTGGCTGGCAGTATTATCAGAACAAGAGAGGACCTCTCAATGGCTGAACACGAGGCTACCACATTCAGCTGGGGGATGAACTTGATCTGCTGACACCAAGTGGAGTGGAGACTCTGGGAAAGAGAATGGTTGTAGCAGGAGACCTCTCAATGACAGTCACATTCTATATCCTGCTCCTGGAACATGGCCAGGGCTGGTGCTGGATGGGACTGGAGATCACAAGATCTAAGGCTCTTGCCTTAGAGACCACAGCTTGGACAAAATGATATGGACCATAGTCCTAACCAAGTCCTAACCAAGGTGTCTGGCCCATCCCTGTCTCAAAACAAAACAAAACAAAACAAAACAAAAAAACTGCTTAAAAGCACTAAGCCTACCATCATCTGAACTCCTGTTTTCTCAGAGTCTCTTAAGATTTAGAAACTGCAACAGCAGGACTTATGATACTATCATTCTTTGAAACAGGGACAAAGAGTGAAATTGAGGGTGCCTAGGTCCCACTGCCTTCTACTGGCTGCCTCTACTACAGGAGCCTGCATTTCCAGGCCCACTACCATGCTCTGTATTTGTTAGAACATGGTGGCTCCCAGGAATAGGAGGGGCAGAATGCACACTCTGCCAGGAGTGTAGCAACAGGGAGATGGTACTCAGAGAACAGGAAAGGCAGGCTGGCCCAGGCTCCAAATGCCCTCTGTGCAGGCGAGATTCTATCAACTCGACACAACCTAGAGTCACTTGGGAAGAGGGGCCTCAGTTGAAGAATTGCCTCCATCAGGTATTTCTATGGGGCCTTTTCTTCATTAACGGTTGGTGTGAGAAGGTCCAGCTCACGGTGAGCGGTGCCAGCCCCGGGAATGTGGTCCTGAGCTGTATAAGAAAGCAAGCTGAGCAAGTCATGGAAGAGCCAGCCAGTAGGCAGCTTTCCCCCATGGTTCCTGCCTCAGCTCCTACATGAGCTCATACCCTGACTTCCCTCAATGGTGGATCATATAAGCCAGTGAAACCCTTTCATCCCCAAATCGCTTTTGCTAGATGCTTTATCACAGCAACAGAAAGCAAATTAACACATCCACACTCTGGCCCTGGATGGTAACTGTGCTTAGCCTCCCAGTCTGGAGATGTCCCTCCCTAGGACAAGCAAAGAGGAGAATGAAGAAGAGGGATTGGGTGGATGGATAAGATTATCAAATATTCTTAAGCACCTTAAACCTGCAAGCCTGGTAAGACCCTGGGTTGGGTCTTACATCACCATTTCCTCTAATGCCTGCCACAATAATGGTACCTAAGCCAAAGCACTGAAATGAGGCCTAGGATGCTTAGTAACTTCAACAGCAAACTTCTCCCAAATGAAATAACCACAGATGAAAGGAGGGGGTGGGGGGAACAAGCATGGTGATGTGTGCAGCAATCCAGCACTTGGGAGATGGAGGTAGAAGGATCATGTGTTCACAGACAGCCTGGGAACATGAACCTCAGTCTCAAAGAAAAAGGAAGAAAGGAAGAAAGGAAGAAAGGAAGAAAGGAAGAAAGGAAGAAAGAAAGAAAGAAAGAAAGAAAGAAAGAAAGAAAGAAAGAAAGAAAGAAAGAAAGAAAGA